CAGTCGTGTCAACGTAGCCTTCATGTCATGTAAAGCTAAAATTGTCTGCACCTGAGGCAGATCGAGCAAAGCTGGCGTTGAGTCAGCTTCCTTTGAAGGGATGCTCAGTGATCTTCTCTGAACGAACCACAATAAAAATATAATTATTAACATAAAGATTGTTGTCCCTATTATTGTCCGAACGGTCACTGTTGTAACCTATTCATGCTTTTTCTCAGTACTGGTGCTTGCATCCGTGTCACAGACACAAGAGGCTGGACCGTGACAGACCCACAGCAGCGAGTGAGTTGAAACTGCAGCGAGTGAGTGAATGCGCATGTTCGGGGTTTAGGGTTTAGGGCTCAGGGTCTGAGATTAGTTTTCAGGGTTGCCACGACCAGTACTACAGCTGCTGCTGTTGCTGCGTTCGCTGTCATGGTTACCGGAATACGCTGTTGTGGTTTCTCAATCGTGTTTTTGTTGTGGTTACAACCCTGCCTCGTATTATATGTATGTATGCATGCATGATGTATGTGTTTGCTGGCACTGACGGGGTTCGACATGAACACGTGTGGTTAGTTGCTGTTTGCCGTAATCCTCGCCTCTCAGTGCCAGTGCTAAAAAATGTACGTATGTATGTCTGTATGTATGTATGTATGTATGTATGTATAGAAGCACTGTGTATACACGCAGGGTAGATATATGTATATATAAAATATGCATATATACATATATATATATGTCTATATATGTATATGCACACACATGTGTATGTGTAGACATGTGTGTGTGTGTGTGCGTGTGTGTGTGTGTGTGTCTACATGGAGTTGTATACATACAGGCATACATACATACATGTATTCAAAGGAATGTATAAACGGAAGCAACTTGTATAGATAGATAGATAGTTAGATAGATGAATGGATGGATATGTAGATAGGTAGTTAGATAGATAAACTGATTGGCAGACATGTAGATAGATAGGTAGATAGATAAATGGATAGATCAATATAAAGATAGTGCATACATACACACACACACACACACACTTGCAAAACATGCACGGATAAAATCACATCAACAAATATGTTTATAGAAATAGATAAATATAAATATAAATATAAAAATAAATATAAATAAATAAATAAATAAATAAATAAATATATATATATATATATACAAGTATATATATATATATATACAGGTATATCTACATACACATAAGACCCCATACAAGTACTTATACATGTTCGCGGTGGTTGTCAGAAAATGAAAACCGTCCTGGTTGTGACTTGCTCGTCGAGCGTGTTTCGGTAGGACAGAGTATGCTTTTAAGCGAGTCGTCCGCTTTCGACATGCTCTGGAGGCATGCGTGGGATCTTGAAAGCATGCGTGGAATTCTTGTTCAGCTTAATCTGCAGGTCCTGCTGTTGCTTGGACTTGCCATTTCTGAAGATGCGCAAACCCGAGATCTACCTATTATGTTTTCTGCGCGCGCTATCCCAAACCGCCCTTCGAGTTCTTGAGTTCGATGACTGCTCAGCACTCGCCAAGCCCAGTCCCAGATGGCTGGTGCTGGTTGATGTGACAGAAGCGATATCGGAGCCCGTTTCAACTCGCCCTCGTGCCTTGCCTCCCCCTGTTTGGTGAGGAGCCAGCCGGGAAGGTGCCGCCCGTTGCTTCGGCGGCTGCAGAGTGCTGGAACCTGAGTAAGTATGTAGGTATATGACATCATGCATTTGTGCTTGATTGGTTGTTTACCTATTCAATCTCTTCGTGTGCCCGGTCGTAATCGAACTGAACGGAGACCACCTTCGTGGCCTTGATTCCCAAATGTCCTTGCACGCCACCGTCGGCAAAGGGCAGTGAGCCACAGGTCTCGGACTCGTATCACCCGCAATCGGAACAGTGACTGCTCTATGCCAGGCCTTTCTTGAAAGTCGCTAGGACCGTGGTCTCGATCAGCCGGA